AAGAGCGTGAGCGAGAATGAGAGAAGAAGAAGAAGAAGATGGTTTAGTTGGGATTGAAGAAGAAGTGAGTTGTTCTTCCAGTTGGATTAACTGTTCCAGTGTGCTCGGATCCCATTCGTCTGGGAATAGGTCTTCGCTATCGTTCCCCATTCCACACTTCCCCACCCATTCACACTCCCAACTCCCAACCTTTTTATATTCAACTTTATCTTATGCTTCAAACTTCAAACACTTCGTATATTTATCAAACATAAAATAATAAAATAATAATAAATATATATTGAATTACAATTATTTAAAATTTAAAATTATTTTGTTGAAATTAAAATGATTTTTTTTATTGCTAAAAATTATTGATGACCATTGGAAACTCGTACAAATAGATTACCTTTCTCAACTGGATAACAAACACAACCATTTAACAAATCAAATAAAAATATATACAATCTTTTGCCCAATAATTAGATGTTCAAGTTTCCTGAAAATGGTGTTTATAGACTACACAAATATTATGACCATAAACTTGTAAAATAATTTTGTTAATATTAGATTAGATGTTTGTAAAAGTAGAATAATATGTTTGCAACTAAGGGGAATAGAAACTTTAAAAAACATCAACATACAGGTAAATGATCATTGGTTAGATATGTGGATGTTTGTCTTTAACGCTGAGTAACTTGCACAAAAGTTCACTAAAAAGATGTGATGACTCAATAAAAAAAAAATTTGGCAAAGGAATTTGAAAATGGTGGTTTTGTTGTTAGAATTCCAAAGTCGGGGATTTGAAAAGGGGAAAAAAAGTATTAAAAAAATGGTTTTGTTAACTATGTTTAGGAATTAAGTAATGGAATAAGATGTATGAACTGATTTGTTTTTTTTTTTTTTTTCGTCCTGGAGTATCTACCGCCGAGCAGTGACTAATCTCCTCGCTACGTTGGAGGCACCTCAAAAAGTGGGATAGCTGACCCCAAGATTTAATAGCTCACGTTCTATACATATATGTGATTTTTTAAAATTTATATGATTGTAACATATTATTTTGCCTGATCGATGAAATTTGTGGACTTTGTCAGCTAACTTGTTTAACATTAAGATTTAAAATGTTTATTTTAAAAACATTAAGAATTTGATATTTAATTGGTGTCTTTTGATTTTAAAATTTAAAAAAAAAAGATTTAATACTTAAATATTTAAGTAATGTATTTGAACTTTTAAAATTTAAAAATATTAAAATTTTGGTGTTTTGTTAAAATATACAAACTTTGATTTGTTAAGACATTGAGTTTTTATTTAAAATGTTTAATGTTGTTTACAAATGTGATATATATATATATATA